TTGTTTTCAAAAGACAGTACTACTTGTATAATTTCTACTTTAAAAAAAAATGCAACCTAACCTCCAACAAGAATCCTTAGCAGATTATTGTTTGTATTCAACAAACAATACAAAATAAATTATTTCGGTTCTGCTTTGGGGCAGGGGTTCGGTTCAGTATGGAAACATCCAAATTATGGCGGTGAGAAGGTGTAATGGTGGTGGGACTGATAGCAGGAGCAATAGCACAGCGGGTAGGACATTTGCCTTGTATGTGGCCGACCCAGGTTCGATTCCCAGCATCCCATATGGTCCCCTGAGCACCACTAGGTGTAACTCCTGAGTGCAGAGCCAGGAGTAACCCTTGTGCATCGCCGGTGTGTCCCAAAAAGAAAAAAAAAATGATGGTGGGACTGGTGTTCGAATATTAAATGTAATCAAATATTGTGAACTACTTTATAAAAATAAAATTAAATTTTAAAAAATAAAAAAGTTTCCATAGAAAAAAAAAATCCTTAAACTTCAATGACACATTCATTTAAACTCACCCTATGTTGGGTTAGAAATTTTTGTGTACAGGTTTCATCTTTGGAGCAACTGCAACTTATCTACAATTCTGAATTATAATAATGAAGCTTATCTATAATTCTGCTCCACCTGCCCAGGAAAATAACACTATTAATTGGTAAAGAATAAAACAAAACTTGGGCCTGGAGAGATAGTACAGTGCCTTGCATGCAGCCAATCAGTGTTCAATCTCCAGTATCCCATATGGTCCCCTAAGCATCCTGACCCATAAATAAAAACAAACAGACAAAAAAAGGCTTCAAGATGGCAACAAAACAATTACATAAGAACAAAACCACCAAGCCTCAAAAGTAATCTTATAAGGAAAAGACTGTTAGCCATGGGAATCCATGACCAAGTCAAAACAACATTGAAATTGTGGGAATTCCAACAATCTGCATGCTTGCATGGGCTAGGATTGTTGCAAAATTGCCAAAGTGTAGCAGTCAGATTTCACAGAATTGTAAATTCCTATCAGAGGACATGTTCTTTATTTAGGCAAATTCCAGCATGATCTGAGTGTTTAGAGAGCAATTCCCTTAAGGATATGGCATGAATGGACAAAGAACAGGAATTTCTTTTTAAGTAAAAGCAGAGTTGAATATTAGGGGATCTGGGAAGTTGTGCCTGGGGGTAAAAATGACCATGTGAGGTGGTCCAGGAAAGTGATTCAATATTAGATGAGTCTATGCTAGGAGAAATATGCAGCCATTAAAATTGAGAAGGGACTCCGCGCCAGGCTGTGGAGTGGGTGAGAGCCCTGCCCAGCCCAAGGACCCAGCCCTGGCAGCTGACCTCCACTGCCCAACCACTGTCACACTCCAGGCCACTTTCTGGATGCTCTGGCTGAGCCTCACCCATGAATAAAGTCCCACAGAACCCAGATAATGCGGAACTTTGTGACCTTGGACTCTGGACTCAACAGACCAGAATAGAGATCCTCTGCCTGCTTCCCCCAGTCTCCGGGATCACACCCATAAGCCACACCCTGCTGGCACCAGATAATCTCCTCATCGGTCACCCTCCAGTACTCATGGATGCTCCTCCCAGACGGGAGTATAAAAGGAGGCCCTCAGAACCATGCCACTGGACTCCGCGCCAGGCTGTGGGGCGTGTGAGAGCCCTCCCCACCCCAAGGGACTCAGTCTGTCACATTCCAGGCCACTTTTCGGACTGTGCGGCCGCGCAACACATTTTAAGAATCTTCCTACCCATTTATGCCTCTCGGAGAGCCTGGCAAGCTACCGAGAGTACCCCTGCCCGCACGGGCAGAGCCTGGCAAGCTCCCCATGGCATATTTAATAAACCAAATACAGTAATGACAATAGGTCTCATTCTCTGACCCTGAAAGAACCTCCAATTGGGAAAAGACAAGAAGAGGCTGCTAAAATCTCAGGGCTGGGTGGAATAGAGATGATACTTCCTCCCCCCCCCACCCCCCGCTCAAGTAAATCAAAGATCAATGGGATGACAGTGATACAGTGAAAATTGAGAAATTCGTGGGGTCGGGTAGGGGGGAAGCCATAGAGGTTTGCATCTCAATTTTTAGCTCTGAAGAAATATAATCCCTCTCTGTTGGCTTAAAGAGACTGTCACACATTACTGTCCTGATGTGGTTCTGTCTGAAGGGGGTAATCCAGAATGGAGCAAACAGGGTGGAAAAATGTCAGAGAGTCTACAATGAACCTCCTCAGTAACAACCTTTTCAAAACCTTCATTTCAGAGGATGGATGTATTCCCTCATCTGAAACAAAAACTAAACAAGGAACAAAATGTAAGGGTGAAAAATGAAACCAGATGGAGATAGTGAAATACAACAAACTGTTAGAAGAAAGTGGCTTGATACAAAGTAGGAGGAAAGGCACCTAGGACAGACACAGACAGGGACTCTAAAGATTAAGGGGAAGCTGGGGGGTGGTGGGGAGGAGAGGCAGAGAACAGAAGAGGTAACCAGGAAAATAAAATCAAAACAGAAAGCTCTCCAAGAGTGCAGAATATATGATATACTGGGGAAATCCAGTTCTGCCCAACCAGGTGGGCAGAACTGGAATTCCCCAGTATGAGGGAGAACTTTGTCTCTGATACCTGGTTGCCCTCTTTTACTCCCTTCCTTCTCTTTCCACATTCAATCTGTTAGCAAATCTCAATTATAACTTTGGAACACATCAAGAATTCAGGAATTTCTCACCACCTCCATTGCTACCATCCTAGACCCAGATAATATCTCTTGGGGCCACAATGAGGGCATAGCAGAAAAGTAATTTGCCTCGGATGTGATCAACCCAGGTTTCATCCCCAGCACCATATGGTCTCCAGAACACTGCTAGGAGTGATCCCTAAGCACAGAGCCAAGTGTGGCCCAAACAAAAAAAAACCAAAAAACAAAACTACTTAGGGGTTGGAGCGATAGCACAGTGGGTAGGGAATTTGCCTTGCACGCGGCCGACCTGGGTTTGATTCCCAGCATCCCATATGGTTCCCTGGGCAATGCCAGGAGTAATTCCTGAGTGCAGAGCCAGGAGTAACCCCGTGCATCACCAGGTGTGACCCAAAAAGCAAACAAACAAAAAAAACCCCACACACAAAAAAACTACTTAAACTGTAGCACTGTCCTCCTGTTGTTCATCGATTTGCTTGAGCAGCACCAGTAACACCTCACAACAAATTGTGAGACTTGTTGTTACTGTTTTTGGCATATTGAATACATTACGGGTAGCTTGCCAGGCTTTGCTGTGCAGGCGAGATACTCTCCGTAGCTTGCTGGGCTCTCCGAGAGGTGTGGAGGAATCGAACCTGGGTCGGCAGTGTGCAAGGAAAACGCCCTACCTACTGTGCTAGATATTCTCACCTTGACAACAGTAAGAACATCTCCCCCCACATTCCCATTTCACATGCTCCAATCTCCTCACCTCTCTCTGGGGCAAAGCAACACTGATCACCATATAGAAATATGGTTGTATAATCTGTTGCCAAGCCTAAAGGAGAACTTCACAAAAGCAAGACTCTCGACTCTCTTCTCTCTCTCTCTCCCTCTCTTACCCCTGCCCTTTCTCTCTTGAGTCAGAAAACAATGATGTGTCTTTTTATTCGTTCGGTGTAACTTCAGGTTTACAGAAAGATTGCAAGAATACCTAGATTAGGGTTTCCATGTACCCTTCAGAGGAATTCTCTAAATGTTAATTTTTCAACCATGTTTGCTTTGTCAACTGAACCTCTTCCTGTATATTAGAAGTGCCTCGTCTCGACTAGTTTGTGAATGAGCGAAGAGGTATGGTTCTATTAGAACACTGGTTCTAAAAGAAACACTGGGGAGATGCAAGGAGGAAATGCTTATTCTTACATAAGTAGATTAGGGAGTCAAAACAGGATTGATTTAAAAAAAAAAAAATTCTTTACTTGTGCTGAATACCAGCCGAAGAATTGACCTGATGAAGAAAAAAGGCACATTCAGGGAAGAAGGCCGTCTGTGCGAAGCCATGACAGCTGTCAAGCTGCTCCCTGGAGGGAGTGAACTAAACATGGGAGGAAATTCAGGCCTAAGACGGAGAAAAGTTACAAAGCACTTGCCTCTAATGACAGAGCTTGTACTTTCAGAAGCTCCAGGACCCATTTCTCAATGCTTCCATATTCCCTAAAATATCCTGATTAAAAAAAACTGAAAACATGAAAATACAAAATCAGAGAGTTTGGGGAAGACAAACATTTATTCCAGTCAGGGGCACTGGAGGACTTACAATGCATGCTGCACCATCCCATTTCTTATCAGTGTCAACAAGGAAGGATGGAACATCACAGGAGCTTTGCTTGAAACTGCCAGTAGCTGCTGAGAGGTCACCATTAGTCTATGACATCTTCTTCTTCACTGGTGTGGCTCAAGATTTTCCAGCCTCATTTCCAGTGCTCAGTGAAGACATGCTCTTTAACTCTGTATTTACTTTGTGCAGAGAGAGGGTAGGAATCTGATAGACTAACTAGGCCTCTTCAAGTCATGACTTAAGTTCTATTTTCCTATTTAAGTTTATTTTCTGATTAAAATAGAAAAAGGGGACAGGGTAAGGAGAAATAGAAATTACACTATTGATACAAAGACTTTAAATTCTAGTAGAAATTAAGATCCATATTAAAGGTCAACTCTGAAGGGACCCAGGAGATAGTTCATCAGGTTGAAAACATGCAATGGTCCCTGAGCACAGAGCTGGGAGTTGCCCTCGGAGACTCACCCGGTGTGGCTAAAAAAAAAGAGAAATAACAATAATAAAATAAAGTCAACTGGTGGTTCAAAGCAAATAATGATGTGAGGTCTGATCAAAACAAACGAAGCTGAGTCTCATTCGCCTCAATAATGTAAGCAAACAATTCTCTAATATTGGAGTCCAGAGTTGTCACTGATGCTCCACTGGTCATGCAGGTAAGTTTGTAGAAATGAGCTCTTCACGCAGGGTAATGTTGAAAGCTTCAGATAGGATGTGAAGAGCAGCTCCTGCTTCCAGATAGTGTCTGCAGCTCACAGTGGGTTTAGCACTGGAATCGAGTAGAGAACTTGGGAGACACAGGCACAGTCAGAGGCTGGTCACTTGACTTTATTTCCACACCCTGGTACTTTCGTATTGGATTAGCTTTGTGCACCTGCAGAGTAGAAAAATAAAAAATCACCACTGACCTAGAGTAGTGACATTTTTTTTTTTGTGGGAGAGGCAGGGGGCAGGGGGCAGTGGGAGGATGCTGGATCACACTCAGTGATGTTCAGGGGTTACTCCTGGCTCTGTACTCAGGAATTATTTCTGGCAGCACTCGGGGACCATATGGGATGCTGGAGAAGGAACTTGGGTTGGCCATGTGCAAGGTAAATGGCCCTACCTGCTGTACCCCCAGAGTAGTGATTCTCTCTTTTTTTTTTTTTTGGCTTTTTGGGTCACACTCTGCAATGCTCAGGGGTTATTCCTGGCTCTGCACTCGGGAATTACTCCTGGCAGTGCTCAGGGGTCCACATGGGATGCTGGGAATCGAACCTGGGTCGGCCACGTGCAAGGCAAACGCCCTACCCATGGTACTATTGCTCCAGCCCCCAGAGTAGGGATTTTCAACCTTTTCTACCTACTACTTGTGGTTGCAAACCATTGCACTAGTTTGAACCTGAGAAGTGGCTTTCAAATTTTCACACTATTTTCAACCAGCAGATGAAAAACATGATCTAGAGCCCAGTTTCTTAAACTGTGAGGTACAGTAGTTTGGAAAAGTCGCACTTTTATAAAGATTATCTGAAGTAGAGGGTCATACTTTTTTTCCCTCATCCAAATAGCAGATGGCAAGTAGAATTTTTCCCTTGAACAATTTGTACCTCGACCCACCATCACCTCTGTCAACACATGTATCAGCAGTGAGTCTAAAACTTTTAGACTCTCAAGTACTTCTATATTTCCAAAATCATTCTTTTAATAATCATATGAAGTTTTATTTAAAGCTGTCTTTTTTTTCCTCATTAATGCTCTAAAACAGTTTGTATCCTTCCTACTAATGAAAAAAAATCATTATTAAAAATTAAGCTTCCTGGGACTGGAATGATTTAGGGCGTTTGCCTTGCATGCAGGCAACCTGGGTTCAATTCCCAGCATCCCATATGGTCTCCCGAGCACAGCTGGGAGTAATTTCTGAGTGCAGAGCCAGGAGTAACCCCTGTGCATCGCCAGGTGTGACCCAAAAAGAAAAAAAAAAAATTTAAGCTTCCTGGGGCAAAAGCAATAGTACAATGCATAGGGTATTTGCCTTACACATGGCATATCTGGGTTAGATCCCCAGCATCCCATATGGTTCCCTGAGCACCGCCAGGAGTAATCCTTGAACACCTCCGGGTGTGACCCAAAAGGACAAAAAAAAAAAAAAAAAAAGGAAAAAAAGAATTAAATTTCCTTTTTAATAATACTGGGCCCGCTTGAGCAAATAATATCTAAATTATTACACATGCATTAGCATGTACAATTACCTTGACTGATATGCTCTATAATATTACAGAATTTGCATAGAGTATTAACAAAAATAAAGTTACAAATTCTCATGTCCTTTACTATCTCTATATACTCTGTATACTTGACTAATTGTAAAACACATTGACTTTTTTTTTTTTTTTTGCTTTTTGGGTCACATTCAATGAGGCTCAGGGATTACTCTTGGCTCTGCACTCAGAAATTACTCCTGGAGGTGCTTGGGATGCTGGGGACCAAATCCTGGGGACCATGTGCAAGATAAATGCCGTAGCTTCAGTTCTAATGCATTGATTCTTGACTCCCACAGGAAATACTAAAAGCTAAATTAAAAGAGATCCGAGGAATGCATTATTTTGAAAAGTTAAATCACACAATATCCTCCAGATGAAGACACCTCAAAGAAATTCAATCTGAATCCAATAAGATATTTTTAAACTATTAAAAAAAATTTTGCTTTTGGGTCACACCCAGCAGTGCTCTGGATTCATCTCTCTGATCTCTATGCTCAGGGATCACTCCTGAGATGATGGAGATCAAGCCCGGTCTGCAGACTGCAAAGCAAGCACAGCACCTGCACCTGTTATACTACGGCTCCTGTCCCACAATTTTTTAGATCTTATGAAAATTTTTAGTTTTCTACCTTTGGTTTCTAAAAAGGGCTAAAATCATGATATAAGTAGCAAGTACAACGAGTACAATGTATATACATTTTTAGCCTTATCTGTGGCTCAATTGTCACCATCTTTGGTTTATTGAAGAGAACACCATAAATTTGTGACTTCCCCCTTACACTTGACTTTGATGTGCCTTGATAGGACACATCCTCTCTGGAAAGGGGCAAGAACAGAGAAATTACAACAGAGAATCTTGGGTTAGTCAGTGCTTGGGTGCCCAGTTACCATTGCTCTCCGTATCCTCGCCAGCTCTTCCTTCTCTTGCTCTTCTTCCTGTTGTCTGGCCTCCTCCAACTCCTGGGCTTTTTTGGCTTCGACCTCTGCCATTTTCTTCTCCAGTTCCTGCCACTCCTTAGCTCTCCTCTCAGTGGCCAGCTGAAATGGTTCCTGAACTAGAGAACCAGAAAGGCCCTCTGAGTACAAGAAGAGAGAAAACATTGATACACAAGCAGGATGTGTACAATCCATGCATTAGTGGAAGTAGCAAGTAGCATAGACATGCAGAGCAAGCAACAGAGAAGCTGAGCAGCTAAAGAGTCCCAGTGGGAGACAGGATAAATCACACATAAAAATGCCTAGAATTTCAATAGCTAGGAAGATCTAGTTAGAAAAAAAGCAAGACTTCTCACAGGTTGAACAGCTTGCTCAAAATTACAAGGCTAATTTGAAACAGATGTAGGAGATGCATCCCATTTTCTGATACCTTTATCTGGTATAGAAATGTACTGTATCTAAGGTTTGCTTCTAGATAAACTTCAGAAACAGGTCCTGCCCCCTCCCACCTGACCCCATCCTCCATTTAGGTGCTATTCTTTGGGCAGGAAAACATTTAACTTACTGAAATGCCAGATGTCTATGCCCAGGTTCTTGTTCTATGAATTTGGCACCAATGAATTCTACATTTCAATGTAACTACTGAGTTCAAGAAAAGCAAAAGAATTGTACCAAGGAGATAAAAAATTAGATCCTCTCCTATAAAGGCAAATGTTTCTGTTTAACACAACTGAACCCTATGCACAGCCCTGGGAAGTCTGACAATTCTGTCATAATTCCCTAAGAGTATATATTATAATACCAGAAAGGTTTTTTCTTTCTTTCTTGGGAACAAAGGGCTCCTGGGAGGTGACGTTGTTTGGTCGAGCCTTGAAGCAAGTTGCTTCTTTCTGCTGTTTCAGCTCTTCTTCCAGCTATTAGAAAGAAAGACCAACAGATAAACCACTACAGAATTTCCTCGACTACCACATTAACGACTCGAGTAATGTTTTTGAAATACTTATCAATAAAGATCACTTAATCTAAATTTTCTTTAGATTAGATCTGCAGATGATTTGATTTAAACCTTAGCTAGAAACCTCCTATAGGAGGACATCATGCTGACAAAATCTAAATGCTCTGAGAACTAGAAGATATAAAGACTTATTTTGTATAAAAAGGGGGAATGAGCCTATGCTGATTCAGAGACAATAACATCTCTTGGGTTTCGGCAGCGGGGACAGACCATGCAAAGCTGGGGATCAAATCCAGGCTCCTAAATGCAGAGCGTCTGCTCCAGCCCTTTGAGCCATCTCCCCAGTCCCTTAGGGTGACTCTACAAAGATCTGCTCCAATCTCCAAGATTCAGGGGATTCTTCTTTCTAGATAGGGCACAATTAGATTCCAATTTAACTAGTCAACAACAACCAACCCATTGTCTTTAATTGTCTGGCAGCTATATAAATAGCACACTATATAAACAGCACAATTTATCACAGTATCACATTGAGAATCCTGCATGAGAACCTATTCTCCTATTACTGCTTCTACTTGATCTCAAATAAACCAAACAGGTGAGAGCTTAAATTCCTATGAAGTCAGTTCTCACGTTCCTCAGATGATTATATAAGCAAGGATCAGCAAAGTTCAGCAAATAGATAAAATCCAACTTATAGCCTTTATGCACATTCCTTGAGCTAAGAATGACATTTTTTAAAAATTATCCCCTCTTATTAAAAAAAGTCTTCTCTTTTTCTTCTTTGATTTTTACTTTCTTAAAAAGGTCACACTCTCACACACACACAAACACAGAGAAATATGTGACAGAGACCAAAAGTTACCTAGAAAGTCTAAAATATTTACAGATAAAAACTGCTGACTCAATTTTTAATAAGAACGCCTGACATTATGTAGTGTGTTAACTCCCAGGCAAATTTCAGTGGACTGGGACTACCTAGTGTTAACAACTCAACAATCAAACAATTAATATTAACTATTCTCTTCAACTCCTACCTGATGTTTCCAAGTCTGTGCCTTCAGAGCACCCCTTTTGTCTGTCTCCAGGGAGAAAGGCTCAATCTGGGTCGCGTTCTTCACCTTTTTCTCTGGTAGATTAACAGTGTCAAAATGAGGCACAGGAAGTGCCTTGAACTTGGGCATCTAAAAAGGGGGAAAAAAACCCTTAAATTAAGGCCTCTCTGAAAATAAATCAGTCGATACTCTAGACATCTGAAAGACTAAAAAATAGGATCGGTCAGTTTTCAAAGCAGCATGTTCTAGCAGAAAGAGTAATGCACTCAAAGAAAAATATTTTCTCCTCCCAATATTGTCAATAACTGGCAGCACTGTTATGAGCAAGTCATTTAACCTCTTTGTGCCTGAAGTGATTATTAAAATGAAGAACCCTGATTATACTTTGTAAGGTTACCAAAGGAATCAATGTAGGGTCTAATTTCACATAAAAGATTATCTTTGAGAAATCAAAAAGCAGCTTTTGACTACTTGTAGATATGAAAACACCTACCTCCTCCCCTTTTTGCAATTCTTTAATTTTCTTCTCCTTCTGTAACTGACGTTCCTTGTCTCGAGAATCAAAAGAGAAAGGGCACATTTCCACAGTTCTTGCCTCTGGAATTTGGGGTTTAAAAGGCACCCCATAATGAGGCACAGGTTGAGCTCTTATTACTGGCTCCTCTTCTTCCTAAGAGAAAAATTGTGCTTTAAAACAAACATTCCTGGACTGGGGATATGGATCAGGCCCTCATTGATGGAAGGCCCTGAGTTCAATCCCCAGCACTGCTGATGTGATGCTATACTGGTCCTGGAACCACAGTATAGCCCTATAACAAAAAGAAATCCCTTTTCTTTCTCACCTCCTCAGAATATGAAGTCCAAGGTAATTAAATGAGGCCTGGGAGATAGCCCAAAGGGCAGGAGCACATGCCTTACATGCTAAAGGCTGGGGTTCCATGTCCCCCAAACACTAGTAGTGATCCTTGGCATTGAGCTAGGAGTAGCTACAGGAAACTGCAGGATGGGGTCCCAAAAGACAAAACAAAATTTTTTTTTTTAAAAGACATACAGGCTGGAGCGACAAAAGGTTTATCTTGCAATGGGCTCAATTGCTGGGACTACATATGCTCCTCCAAGCCCACATGAAGTGATCCCTGAGCACAGAGCTAGGAGTAAGCCCTGAGCAATGCTTACTCTGGTGCACCCCTCCCCAAAAAGATTTTTTTAAAGACATTATATGAGAGAAGTCAATCAATGTCTTAGGAATTTAACTTTCTTTTCTACCAAAACAGATAAAATCTAAGCCATCTACTGAATCAAAGGAAGAGACCAATGTAAAGAATGATAAAGGATGACAACAATTACTCTAGGTTTTGTTTTCTGTGTGTGATGGTAGGGGTCTGAACCAAACTGGAGGTGCTCAGAAATACTCCCAGCTGTGTTTAGGGGACAGACCAGGGTCTGCTGCATGTAAAAATAAACACCATAACCACTTTATACTCTCTGGTCCCCATAATAACTCTAAAAGGAGCTGAAGTTTGGGGAGGTTTTTTCTGTTTTAGTTTTTTTTTTTTTTTTTGGCTGCTTGGGTCACACTCAGAGGTGCTTAGGGGTTACTCCCGGCTCTGCACTCAGAAATTACTTCTGGCATTGCTCAGGGGACCACACGGGATGCCAGAGATCGAACCCGGGTTGCCACTTCAAGGCAAATGCCCTCCCCGCTGTGCTATTGCTCCGGCCCGGAGCTAAAGTTTTTAACAAGAAGGTTGTAAGAATCAGTGTGAATAAAATGATGGGCATAAAAGGGTAATACCCAAGCTTGTATCTTAGCCTCTTGTTTGACCTGGCCTCTGACTATGTTAAAACATGTGACTGAGAGACAGAATTGCCAAATCCAGTAAAACAGGATCAAGTTGTTTGGGTTCCAACTGGTAACATGAGAGTACCATGCATTTAGTTTCAAATGAACCTCTAAAAAGGTTTAGGCTTGAGATTTTATATAAAATCACCCAAACTTCGGGTATTTATAGATAAAATGAAAGATGTAACAAGAAGATGGACTGATCAGTGACAGTTTATGTATTCAATTTTCATGACGATCACATCATTAACTTTGCAACCCTTGGGTTAAAGGACCTAGGTCAAGGTGAATCTAACTGCCTGCTAAGAATTTTAAATCCCCTCACAGAGCAGGGAGGTACTTCAGGGGGAAAAAAAAAAAAAAACAAAAAACAGGAAGGGGTTTGACAACTTTTTTTGACTCATGTAACAAAAACACATTTTCAACTCAATAATAACAAGTCTGCAATAAGTCATGATCTGTTACCCCAAAGGCCAGAAGATTCATACTCTTATCAGCTACTCTGTTCTTAGAAGAGCAAAAACAATGATCAAACATTCATACTTTGGCTGAATACAACTCCACACATGATTGCCTTTGGATCCCATTAAAGAAAAACTATGTTCATAGAGTGATTAACAGATAAGAAGTTCTACTATGGACTCACTTCAACTTCTTTAGTGGGCATTCGGATTCTGTTCTTCAGTGAAAAGGCTGGTGACTTGGGAACTGTGATTGGAAGGATTTTCTTTTCAGGAACACCCTGGAAAGAGTAAGCAACTCTATTAGATATCCCAGAACAACATCAGGGTATTTTCAGATTAAATTCCCTTTTTAAAAAGAAGTACCCATAGCACTGTAGCATTGTCCTCCCGCTGCTCATCAATTTGCTCGAGCAGGCACCAGTAACATCTCACAACAAATTGTGAGACTTGTTGTTACTGTGTTTGGCATATTGAATACGCCACAGAGAGCTTGCCAGGCTTTACCATGTGGGCGAGATACTCTCGGTAGCTTGCCGGGCTCTCCGAGAGGGGCAGAAGAATCGAACCCGGGTCAGCAGCGTGCAAGGCAAACGTCCTACCTGCTGTGCTATCGCTCCAGCCCAAAAAGAAGTACCTATATCAGAAAAAAAATGACTAGTAGTATTTAGGACATTGTTGTTTTTATTTTCGGGGGGAGAGAGTAGAAAGAGGGTGCTTGATCTATATCCAGCAGTGCTCAGGAATCACTCCTAGCAGTGCTCATTCAGAGGGCTATACGCAGTGCTGGGACCAAATCAGGGTTAGCAGTATGCAAAGCAAATGCCTTAACCCCTGTACTATCTCTCTGACACCTGGTTTAGCTTTTAGGTTTATTTCAATATAGCTTTTTAAAAATAATGAAACCTGCAATTATTTGTCACGAAAGGATCAATTAAATCCTTTAAATTGTGGTATAACTAAACAGCAGGCTATCAGTAATTTTAAACAGTGTTCACAATATTGAAGGGGGGTAAAGAACAAGTTACTGAAAGAGACTTTTTAAATCTTATGTTTATGGTTTTTGGATCACACGTGGCTGTTCTCAAGACTTATTCCTGGCTCTGTGCTCAGGATTCCCTCCTGGCAGCAATTAGCCAGGGATCGAACCAGGGTCAGCTGCATGCAAGGCAAGCTCTTACTCAATGTACTATCTCACTGCCCCAGAGATTATTTTGAGTTTTACAAATTTATATATAAGGCTAAGGAGACATCAAGTGATAGAACACATGTGTAATCTGGGCTAGGCCCGCAGCGAAACATCTGCACATCCTTTAGCAAGACCATTAGGACCACATTGGGAGGGCAGGCAATATCCAGATTCCCCAGCAACTACTGAAAATTCCTCTAGTAGAAATGCATATTTGGAGACCAGAATATATGAGCTAGAGTGATAGCACAGTGGGTAGGGCGTTTGCCTTGCATATGGCCAACCCGGGTTCGATTCCTTCACCCCTCTTGGAGAGCCTGGCAAGCTACCGAGAGTATCTCACCCGCACAGCAAAGCCTGGCAAGCTACCCGTGACATATTCGATATGCCAAACACAGTAACAACAAGTCTCACAATTTGTTGTGAGACGTTACTGGTGCCCGCTAGAGCAAATCGATGAACAACAGGAGGACAGTGCTACAGTGCTACAGAAATGTATATATAATTAAATAGAAAATAAAATCTGAACCATTTCTTGGCTTTTTGGCTAAAATCAAGTGTAGAAAATACAATCCAGAAAGAACAACAAACAGCTCATCTCTGAGAATGGCTTGAGAGACATTCACTTTCTGTAAGTCTAACAAATAAAACTACTCTGAAAATTTGTCCTTATTCACTTTCTATCTAGCACCAACTTAGAATCCATGTGCCAATACGGTACACACCATTCAAAGTAGTTACAATTTAGGAGAGCTCTCCTTAGAGCACAGATCTTGTCAACACGAGGCCATGAGTTCAATCCCACCTGGCCTCACAGAGCTGACCACACCACAGTTAAGTGTATGCAAGCACTGGGGTATAAAAGCATCACAACTAAAAAAGATATGGAAGCACCGTGGTCAAGAAGTTTGACCTTGGTATCAAGGCAACTTCTGGTGCCCACTACTGAAACGTGCATAAGCGCAAATGTTGCACAGTCCCTAGTGAGCACAGCGGCTGAGTCTGGGCGCAGCCTGATGTTGGAGATGCAGCAAGCAGCACCACTAACTCCTTTTTTATTAACACTTATCCATATGTGTCTGGACCAGTCTTAGGTCCACATTATCTATTGCTCATGACATTTCCTTTATCTCGTCTTCAAAAAGTCTTTCAGTGTCTCATCTTATTTTTCCCATGCATCTTTACAATATAGTTAAAACTACATCTAAGACTTCTCACTTCCTTCTCCTTTGACCCCCTTCAGAGTAGTGAGAGTACAGTGAATAGAATCGTGGCCTTGCATACAGAATCTGGAACTTGAGGAATAGCTTGACACACAGCACAGAAACAAATTCAGTGTGCAGCTGCCCCTAGATGTTCTGCAAAGGCAGCAGAAAAATACACTTTCCATAATTGCTTCCCTTTGGAAAACAGGTCTTTTCCTAAATATGTGTATTAACAAGAAAATGTGCTTTGAAAATGAATTAGAGCAACTTCTTTCTAAGTAGATTAATAGGGGGCTGGAGTGATGATACAGTGGATCTTGCATGCGGCTAATCCGGGTTTGATCCTGGCATCCTATATAGTCCTCAGAGCACCGCCAAGAGTAATTCATGAGTGATTCCTGAGTGGAGAGTCAGGAAAAAGTCCTGAACATCGCTGGGAATGACCCAAAACCAAAACTAACTAAATGAATGAATAGAAGCCAGAGAGAGAGCTCAAATGTATATAAACCTGAGTTCCACTGGGAGAGATTCCCAAGCACAAGAGCCGGGAGCTGCCCCCAAGCACTACCAGGTGTGGTCCAAACACCATTTCTAAATAAATTAACAAAATAATATTAAGTAAATAAAACACATCCAATTGTGGTACTTTCTAAATTTCTCATCTCAATCCTCTGCATGTGTTCTTGCTCTCCGATAAGCTCAAGTGCTCTGAAAGGCCCTAACTCATCTTTTCAAAGTCTCCACTGAAGATCTGCCTTTTAAGAGAGGCTTTCAAAAGATTTCTCCACTCAGAGAACTGATTTCTCTTTTCTGTATAGAACTTTATCACAGTTTATATAAAATTTTATTGTACTTACTTATTTAAATATTCTTCATCTGCTAGCGTGTGTGTGTGCTTCAAGAATAGGGACAGACTTTTATCCCATAAATCCCTAAGCTTGGCAACCCCAGACCTTGGCACGTATAAGGCATTCAGTAAATGTTTGTTGAATAAATATAGTAAGATTGAATAACAGAATTATACCTTGGACTCTTAGGGCTCTTGGTTGGACTCTTTAACTTGGTAGGCTACTTCTTAATCCCAACAATGCAACAACAATGCATGTTTGGAATATCTTCCTGAGAGTGGCTTTTAAAGTCAGTTTTAGGAACTTACAGGTAGTCACTCAATCTTTGAATTAGAAAAAAATTGTTTCCTGTTCTTATTTAACTATTCAGAAGTTTAGTTTCAAAGGATTTTAGATTAGCTTCAAAAAAGCAAATTAATCTTTAAAATATAAAAATCTACCACACTGAAGGAATATAAGACACATGTTTTTTCCAAACTGTCATCAACATTATCAATAATTGGAAATAATTTAACCTCTCCCAAGGTGGTGGATGCTGTGAAAGTTCTTATTTTCTAAAGAAAAGTGTGTTGTGTTTGGGAGTAAGGAGTTGTAGAGGTGGGTCAGTGAGATAGTGAAATCTAACATAGTAGGACTCATAATTAGAAGACATTCGTAATCAGAAAACCCACTTCAGACATTCATAAAATGGGTTTTCAGATCATGTTTACCATAAAACAATAAAAATCTGTTCCCCAGTATACTTGGACAAGTGGACAGTAACCTGTTGACACAGGAGAAGGAACTCTGGGCAACAAGTTGGGGATATGTTCTAGCACAGCTCCTATTCAAGCTGTGTAGCCTTAGGCAATGGTCTCAGAAGTCTTGAATTTTATTATTGTTTTTCCATTAGAAAACAATATTGGGGCTGGAGCGATAGCACAGCGGGTAGGGCGTTCGCCTTGCACGCAGCCAACATGGCCGACCCGAGTTCGATTCCTCCGCCCCTCTCGGAGAGCCCGGCAAGCTACCGAGAGTATTCGATATGCCAGACACAGTAACAACAAAAGTTTCCAATGGAGACGTTACTGGGCTCGCTCGAGCAAATCGATGATCAACGGGAGAGCCTTTACTTTACTTACTTACTTCCATTAGAACAGTAACAATACACATCTAAAGACTCAGTTTTAAAATAATTCCTCCTTTTCTACCCTGTATCCACCTAATAGAAAAATGTGCATTTGACTATTTTGTGGGTGTTTGTGGGGGGGGGGACACTACACCCAGCTATGTTCAGAGATCACTCCTCGTGGTGCTCAGGAAAACAATACGGGGAGCTGGGGATCAAACCCAGGTTGGTCATGGGTAAGCCGGGCTCCCTCCCAAGCAGCACTATCGCTCCAGCCCCCAGAGAAATATGCATTCGAAAAGGGAAGTGCTGGGGAGGAGTGACAGTACAGCAAGGAGGGCATTTGCCTTGCATGCGGCAGACCCAGGTTCGATTCCTGCACCCCACGTGATCCCCCAAGTCCACCAGGAGTGGCCCCTGAGCACTGACAGGTATGGCCAAAAACAAAATTAAAAAATTAATTTAAAAAAACTTTTTATAAAGATCAAAAGACGACCAGAAAGATAGTACAAGAGTTAAGGTGCTTGCCGTACATGTAGCCAACACTAGTCCAATCCCGAAAACCTTATATGGTCGCCCTAGCCTCACCAGGCATGATTCTGAAGTGCAATGCCAGGATTAAGCCCTGAGCACAGTCGGGAGTGGCCTACAACCCAAAAATAAATAGTAGAAATTTCTCAAAAGGTAAGTCATGAGATATTTACAAGTAGGCCCAATCCTAATGAATTGGAAAGTGATTTATGAAAAGCACTTTACAGCTGCTATCCATCCATACTTCATCTCCATTACTATTATGAAGAAGTCATTAAAACATAAAGGAAATTGAGCTCATAGAAACAGAAAAAGCTCCTTGCTTTGCTATTAAGGTTTTTAAATTACAAGAGCTTTAAGGGCAGAAAAAACATTTCCTTGTATTACGCAGAACAACTAA